TGTGGAGTAGAACTATTAGTTTCAAATCCCAGCTGGGGATTTAGCTCAGTGGCACTGCACCTGCCTCCCAAACTCAAGGTCCTGAGTTTGATCCGTGGTACCCCAAAAAAGAATAAAATAAGGGACCAGGGATTTAGCTCAGTGGTTCCACTGCCTGCCTCGCAAGCGCAAGGACCCGAGTTCAATCCCCGATACCAAAAAAAAAAAAAAAAAAAAAAAAGAATAAAATAGTCTCAAATCCCAGCTTTGTCTCCTGGCTGTGTGATTTCAGCAACTTACTGACTTTCTCTGTTCTACTTTTTCCCCTGTAAAGTGCAGTATTATAACAGCAGTGACTTTGAAGGGTTTGTTAAAGACCAAATACCACTTGAAACACAGTGAAGAACATAAATACTCAATATATGCTTTTATTTCTTACAGTTCAGAGGGTTGAACTCAGGCCTTATGCATGCTAGGCAAGGCTTCTATCACTTTTTTTTAGTAGTATGTGATACAGTACATATGTGATTACATTCATCGTGGGGAGTTGGTACATGTACATAACACATCTCAACTTTTTTTTTTTTTGGTACCAGGGATGGAACTCGGGTCCTTGCGCTTGTGCAGCAGGTGTGAAACCACTGAACTAAATCCCCGGCCCTCCCTTAACTCTTTTTTTACTCCCTACCCATCCAGTCCCTCCCTGCCCCTTCCAACTCTCTCGGCCCCCTTTCCATTTACAAAAGCTCTATTTCCATTTTTTTCTGCATTCTTTTTATTTTCCTTCCTCTCTCCCTCTCCTCCCTCCCCCCTCCATTTCTTATTCCTTTTCCCCATTGGGAAAGATCTCCCTACTTCTATTACCTATCATTTAGTTTCCTCTTTCTACCACCTTTAAACCCATACCAGGCAAGCAAAGAGCAGAGAAACGTGCTTTTCCAGAACAAAGTGCTTTCATCAAGGAGCGACATTATCCAGCCTTGTGAAGCAGGTACTGTCGTGTCCACTTCATAGATGAGAAAACCGAGGCGCAGCAAGATGAAGTAACTTGCCCCAGGTCACACAGCAAGTCAACAACCAAAGCAGATTTCAAATACTGTCTGACTCCAATTCCGATATTCTTCCTACCACCCCACAGCTGGCTGGAACCTTCTGGACTGTGACAACTTGTCCTGTATACCCTGTCTCTATGCAGACATGTGCTGGCTACACGTTTGTTCTCGCATCACCTATGCATAAGAGAGTACGGTGGGGATTTGCAGGTGGTCAGGTTTTAGGGGAGACAGGCATTTCTCTTTGTGCAGAAAGAAACCAAGCGAGACAGTTAATATAGTTGAGCAGGGAGTCTTAGGGGAAAAGGGGAGGTTCAAAAGGCAATTAATGCTTCTGTCTGAAACTGTAAACAGATAGTTACGGGCTCTGACACCACCAGCCACAGACAAAAGGCAGACAGAAACAGCGCACCACAAGGAAGCTGGCCATGGACTACGCCCAGGGTGGAAATTAAATGTTTTCCTGAAAGCAGAAAGGAAAGCCATGGTTAAAGCCAAGCTATGAGTCTAGGTCTGCGACTCCATGGCAGTGACTGTAGTGAGTAAAGGCCCTTAATTTGTACCTAGGTGTTGTGAATCTTAAAGTCTTACTCGACATTCTTTTGACCTAAGTTTGTAAAACAAAAGTAATAATTAGATATGAGTCTTCAACATGTACTGTCATTTTAATTAAAGATATATGTATGTATCTTTCTCTCTCTCTCTCTCTCTCTCTCTCTCTCTCTCTCTCTCTCTATATATATATATAAAACATCATTGGCATTTTTAGTCAGAACTCTTGGCAATAAGTAACAGAGATGCACAAAAATTACTAATAATAATCATTACTTACTGACAACTGGATCCATGAGTTCAAAGATTCCCATTAGTGTCCCTCCCATGTCTTGGCTCTACATTTTTTTTTCTTTTCTTCCTTTTTTCTTGTGTGGGGAGGTGTTACTAGGGATTCAACCCAGGGTCTTTTCATTGAGCTACATCCCTACCCCATCCCTTTTTGGTTTACCTTTTGAAGTTTGAGGCAAGGTCTTGCTAAGTATTAAATTGCCTACATTGGGCTCAAATTCAAGATCCTCCTGTCTCAGCCTCCCAGAGTACTGGGATTACAGTCATGCACTACCAAATCTGGCTTAGCTCTGCTTTCTTTTCTGGTTTTGGGCTCAGATAGACACTGTCCTCCCAGGGGTGACAAGATGGTGTTCAGGAACTTCACATATGGGTTTTCTTTCCTCCCAGTAAGAAAGAGTGCTTCTCTCCAGAGACAATCACAGGCCTCCCTCTGGTTGGCTCTCACTGGGTCACATGCTCATTCTTCAACCAATCCTGTGTCCAGGCTGGATCACAGGCCCACCCCTGGCTGCAGGGATACAGGAAGTTCCAGCCAAGGTACCTGGACTAATATGGGGAGGGGGGTCCCCCAGGGAAATGGCAATGCTGATTCTAGGAGAAGACACGTGTTCACCATCTGGTAGTTCCTGTCCTTCTGTTAACTCAGCTTAAGGAGAGGCTGTCATCGGAAATAATAATGATGACAACATTTATTGAACATTCACTATGCGCTCGCATTGCGTCAAAGATTTTATATGCATTATCCTATTCACTCCCCCATAACAGCTCATATTTATTCCTTATCTTCATCTCCCTTCACTGAGAGTTTAAGGAGTTGGGCCAAGTTCATACAGAGTGGAATTAGGCAGTCATTTTCCAAATCCTGTGCTCTTAGCTTCTCTGGGAACTTCGCTGAGAGCTGCTCTATCTCTCAGAATTGCTGGCTTCCTGTCAAAGAGGAAGCCCTGAGCCTCCTTGAGGGCCACCTGGTGAGGCTAACCATTCAGGATGGCAGATAGCTTCAGGATGGTCCTGCAGAGTTAAACCAAGAGGTTTGACAACAAGGGCAGTCCGATCTGAGAATCCCTGAGGACCCAGCACTCAGGATTCCCTGGTGTCCCTGCCTTCCCGCCCACCACGAGTGGTGACAAAGGAGCATGTCATAGAGGGATGCACTAAGATTGAGCTCCTGTCCTGGCAGTAACCAGCTGTATATGTCCTCATACACACTCCCTAAATGCCTATGGGCCTCAGTTTCCACATCCATTAAATGGGCGTAATAACATCTTCCTTGGAGGGTTGTGACCTTCTTCTGCTTTTGGTGCTGGAGACCATGTGAAGATTGTGTTGAAATAAGACCTGCTTTCCAGGCATAGTGGTGCACCCCTGTAATTCCAGTACTCTGGAGATTGAGGCAGGGGGATCACTGCAAGTTCAAGGCCAGCCTGAACTACATAGTGAGACTCTGTCTCAAAAAACAACAACAACAACAACAAAAAAAGACCTACTGGTCAGCCAGTGGATGCAGCTCCCAGGTGTGCACTCTCCTTCCACATTCTCCCTCTTCTCCCAATGCTTAGCAAGAGCAGGCAGCGACAGGAAAGCACCCTCTGCCTTTTCCCAGCCAGCTGCCCAGGCTCTCTTCCCTTCTTCCTCCTCTGTTCAGCATCCAGAGCTGCAGCAGCACAAAATGAACACCCAGCATCAGCTTCCTGGGTTCGAATCTTTCTTAGCTTTGTCACTGAGTCCCGGTAGCCCCTCAGGTGCACAAGGCACCTCCCACCCAGGGCTGATGAAAACCCCTCTGTCAGCGTGCCTGACACACAGGTTGTTTATTCTCTGCAACCGAACCGGTGACAGGACAGGGCTGAGTGGGTCCGGCTGCCATGGGCGGGGCCTGAGCCAGGCTGGGCAGCCCAGGGCCCCTCCTGCTGCTTCCCATCTCCTGAATAATTCATGACCTACAAAATGCTTGGGCCAGGCCTGGGCCCTCCCTCCTCTGCCAGGCAAGGGAGAAAAGTTTCTAATTACAGATCAGCTGGCCAGGCTCCCCTGGGCCCCTGGGTGCTGCACACAGCGGGTATTTACAGAAAGAGACAGGAGGGGAGGGCTGGGTCCTAGCTCCTTTCCAGAAGGAACTCAACTCCTTTTGAAATTGTAGCCTGGCCCTGGCAGAGCACGGGGGAGGACTGGGGAAGGAAGCTTAGACTCCCACGACCAGGAGGAGACAGCCCTAGAGAGGGGTCAGAGAGAAGTGTCCTGAAAAAGGCCAGGCCAGCTGGGCTCTGGGGAAGACCCGGAAAGCAGAATTGACAGGACACGAGGGGAGACATTTACCAAAGTGCCACGGGCTTCCACATAGCGATATCCCAGCTCCCAAACCACAGCTGCTTGGTGGGTGCCATTGCCATTTCCTCATCTGTAAAATGGGGAGAAGCTTTGTACTTACCTTACAGGTCCTCAGGGAGTTACATGAGATAGTGCACGTACAGTGCTCAGATTACTACCCGACTCGTGAAATACTTATTGGAGCTGGTGTGCTGGCACACTCCTGTAATCTCAGCATTGACGGAGGCTGAGGCAGGAGGACTGTGAGCTTGATCCATCTGGGTGACTAAGCCAGGCACTGTCTCATAAAAGAAAAAGAAGAAGAGGAAGAGGAAGAGGAAAAGGCTGGGGTTTAGCTCAGTGCAGAGGCTCTGGGTTTGATTCACAGTATCTCAAAAACAAAAATATATGGGGCTGGGGATTTAGCTCAGTGGTTCCGGCACTTGCCTCGAAAGCGCAAGTTCCCAAGTTTGATCCCCGGTACCAAAAAAACCCCCAAAACCCCCAAAAAAACCCAAAAATATACTTCACTAACATAGTTGTTATTTATTTATTTATTTTTTTGTACCAGGGATCGAACTCGGGTCCTTGGGCTTGCAAGGCAAGTGACGGAACCACTGAGCTAAATCCCCGGCCCTAGTTGTTATATTTTACATTATGCTGCCTCCATGGAGAAGTCAGAAAAGGATGAGTGACAAGAAGAGCAGGTTCAAGAAGATTGTTGGAAAGAAGAAAAAGGATTTGTGAGGCACTTTAGTATAGTGATTAAGGCCTGGGGGTGTAGCTCAGTGGTACAGTGCTTGCCTAACACGTGCAAGCCCTGGATTTAATCTCCAGCACCACAAACACACACACACACACACACACACACACACACACACACAAGCAAGGACCATATATTACCATAATAATATTTTTAAAACAAACAAACAACAAGGACTCAGCGACTATGCTACCTGGGTTAAATCCTTACTCTGCCTTTTATTAGGTGTGTAATTGTGGGCAAATTGCTGTACCTCTCTGAGCCTCTAGGTTTGTTTTTGTTTTGGTTTTGGTTTTTGAGTCAAGATCTCACTGTGTAGTCAGGCTATGTGGCCTTGAGCTCACTGTGAAGTAGCCCAGGCTGGCCTCCACCTCATGGCAATCCTCCTGCCTCAACCTTTTGAGTGCAGGGATTACAGGCATCCGCCACCACACCCAATCCCTCTGAGTCTCCCTCGGTATAAATGGTAGCTATTTTGATTATCAGAGTGGGGAACAAAGCAGAGATGGTCCCTGCCCTCGGGTAACTTGAAATCTAGCAGCAATGTTACACTAATCAAGGGCACTTGCTGTACAGGTCTGTGAGCGGGTCCTGTGAACACTGCAGTCGTTCTCTCAACTCAGCCTTACAGCATCCACTTCCGTTTCATGGGCAAAGGGGCTGAAGCTCAAAGAAGTGGGAGCAGAGAAAAGATTTGAACAAAGAGGTCACTCAACAGTGTGGATGAATCTGCAAACTAGCATGCTGAGTGAGGAGAAGCCAGATATGAGTGAGTACACATTGTGTGAGGTCATTTATGTGAAATTCTAGAAAATGCAGAGTAACCTATAGTGACAGAAAGCAGATCAGGACTGCCTGGGAACAGGGTCAGGAAGGTCATTGGGTACTAGAGGCCTGTGAGACCTTTTTGGAGAGATGGAAATGATCTTCATGTGAAGCTGATACTAATTAGATAGGTGTATGTATTTTCCAATGCTCACTGAACTGGACGCTTAAAATGATGGATGTATTTTCTTGCAGATAAAGTATTCCTCAAAAAAATAAAGTATACCTCAATGAAGCTGATTTTTTTTTTTGTACCAGGGATCGAACTCAGAACCTTGCACTTGCAAGGCAGGCACCAGAACCACTGAGGTAAATCCCTGGCCCTATGAAGCTGATTTTTAAAGGGGAGGCAGAGAAACTGAACCAAACTCCAGAGTCCTGCAACTTTTTTATATTGAGTGTCTAATTTTAAGCTCACTTGTGGGCAGAAATGGTATCAGGTTCATCTCTAGCCCTTTTCTTCATCTCCAACCCCTCAGGCCTAGCAAAATTCTTAAACCCATTGCTTCAGAGCAACAAATATACCATGAGTGCCTTCTTCATGCTGGGTGCTAAGGTCACAGAGCAATCAGTCTAGAGGGGAAAACAGAAGAAAATCGGCAAATAGACAAAGTACAATGTGATCAGTGCTCTGATGAAGTCAGTGATTCCTTGCTGGGCTTCTGCACAGAGCCTCCATGTTGGTGACTGCAGGTTCTGGAACCTACTGCCTGGGTTCGAATCTCCACTCTCCCACTTGCTAGCTGTGTGACTCTGGGTGATTTTCTGAGCATCCCAGGTCTCTGTTTCCACCTCTGGAAATGCGGATCAGAGTTGCTCCAACCTACAGGGACGTGTGACCTAAGCAAGCCAGCAAATGTCAAATGCTCCCCTTAGCTAATGCTGTCCTGATTGTGGAGCAGCGTACTAGAGAGGGGTACAGACAGAGGAAGGGGTCACCCCTGCCCAACTTCTCTGGGGAGAGGGGTCAGGGAGGATTTCCCAGAGGAGGCAGTACTCGGAGGAGGATTTAGCCAGTTGAAGTGGCCTTGGGGGCAGGAGGGAGTGGGAACAGCTTGGAGCAATCGCTCAATAAATATTTGCTCAATAAATAAAAAAATAGAGACTATGCAAGGCCTGCCTGTAACCAGGGGGACAGAGAAGGCCTGTCAGGAGGACTTAGGGGTGGTCCTCAAGAGGCGGGGTCTGGGTGGCTGGCCCTTACGGCGGATTCTAGCCTGGCCTGGCCTGGTCCGACTCCACCCCGGCCCCTGATAGATTCTGGACACCCCCAGACCTGTGGAGGAGGACCCGTGGTGAGGGCTGGCGGGACAGGGGTCCCCTAATGAGAATGGGCCAAGTCCCTGCGCGGCGCCTCTCGCGCCCCCGTCGTCGTCAGAGCCACAAAGGGCCAGGATCAATGGAAGGCGGGAGCGGCCAGGGGCCTCCTCTTTGTGCGGCTGTCTCAGGCCTGTTTGCGCCGCCGTCTCCGCGTCCCCATTGATCAGGCATGTGGAAAGATTCCGCCTCCAGGGCTCCCTTTGTGGCTGCGTTGCCAGGCTGCGCCCGGCGCGACCTAGCGCGCGGTGGGCACCCACCGAGCTGCGGACTGGATGGGCGGGTCCCAGGAGGTGGGGACGCGGGGTCAGCGAATGAGGACATGGGTGGCCCAGGCGAATTCTAATCTCCGACAAATGACAAATAAAAGCAAAAAAAATTTTTTTACGTTTATAAGTATGTCCCAGATATTGAGACATACTTATACTGAAAAAATGTTTTGTTGTGCACTTGACGTTCAAACTCAACAGGCATCCTGTGTTTTATTTGGCATCGTAGCAGACAGGGAAGTGGAGTAGAGCTCCACACTGCCCAGCATTTACATTCCTCTAACTTTAGTCACTGGACTTCCATCTCTTTGCGCCGTATGTGCTACTACCTGAACTACTATTTATTTTATAGTTCTGGGGATTGAACCCATGGCTTCCTTCATGCTCAGCCTAGTGCTCTACCACTGAGCTACATCTCCAGCCTTGAGCTACTCTTTAGATGCTATTGCTTTTAAATGAATCTATTTGTTAAAATGTAACTTATTGCTACCTGTCTCCTTGCCCTGTGTACAAGTCCAAGAAGCGCCTTCCTTGTGCAAGATGTCTTAACAAGGGCTGGGGACTTAGCTCAGTGGTTTCGCTGCCTGCTGCACAAGCGCAAGGACCCAAGTTTGATCCCCAATACCAAAAAAAAAAAAAAACCCACAAAAAACCATGGCTCAGTCTCAAGATGTCTTAACAAAGCCCAGTGTGGTGACACACAGGTTAATCTCAGGTATTTAGGAGGCAGAGGCAGGAGGGTTGCCAGTTAGAGGCCAGTCTGGGCAATTTAGGAAGATTCTGTTTCCCAAAAAAAGTTCAAAAAGGCAGGGGCAGAGGATGGAGCTCAGCATTCCCAGGGTTCAATCCCCTTACCACAAAAAATAAATTTAAAAAGAAAGGAAAAAAATTAACAGTGAATTATTGGTATGTATTTGATATGAAGACATTAACTGAACAAATTATTTATTTATTTATTTATTGGTACCGGGGATCAAACTCAGGTCCTTGCGCTTGCAGGCCAGGCAGCGGCACCACTGAGCTAAATCCCCGGCTTTACAAATAATTTATTGATACATATTTGACATACATTAATTGAACAAATATTAAATGTATCTTTTTCATTTTTTTGTTTTTTGGTACCAGGGATCAAACTGGCAGGTATGGTGCCACTGAGCTAAATCCCCGGCAATGTATGTCTTTTTTAATGTACCTGTTGATGCATTTTTACCTATGAGGACATCACCCCAGAATATTGCCTTGGGTCCTTTGGCAGTACAGTAGTAGCCTCCTGTAGTGGCAGCCACTTTTCTGACTTCTGTCACCACTTTAGCTTAATTTTTTTTGGTTCCAAGGATCAAACTCAGGACCTTGTGCTTGTGAGGAGGCGGCTGCACCACTGAGCTAAATCCCGGGCCTCTTAATTATTATTTTTTGTTTGTTTGTTTGGTTGGTTTTGGTACTGGGATTGAACTCGGGTCCTTGCGCTTGCGCAGCAGGCGGTGAAACCACTGAGCTAAATCCCCGGCCTGGCCTTCTTCTTCTTCTTCTTCTTCTTCTTCTTATTATTATTATTATTATTTTGGTACCAGGGATCAAACTCAGGACCTAGCTCTTTCCAGGCAGGCAGCAGCACCACTGAGCTAAATCCCTGGCCACCTTAATTTATTTTTATTTATTTATTTTTGGTACCGGGGATCAAACTCAGGTCCTTGGGCTTGCACAGCAGGCAGTGAAACCCCTGAGCTAAGTCCCCGGCCTTCTTATTTTTCATTCTGAGACAGGGTCCTGTAAAGTTGTTAAGTTGCCTGGGCTGGGGTCCAACTTGTGATCCTCCTGCCTCAGCCTCCCAGAGTGCTGGGATCACAGGCCGGCACCACTATGCCCAGCTTCACTTTAGCTGTTCATGAACTTCATATAAATGGAATCACACAGTATATACTTTCTTGAGTCTAGCAGTTTGTGTTCAACATTATGTTCACAATATTTGTCCATGCTGCAGCCCTTTGTTGGTTCTCACTGCTGGCTGAGGAGTGGCCCATCATATAGCGTTGGGCATGACCATTCCTTCGCCCATTCTCTTAGCTGTTTCCAGTGTTTAGCTACTATGAAGAAAGCTGCAACAGTCACTGTATAGACTTAAATATATTTAACATAAGCAGTACTATTTGTGGATTCATAGGCTTGACGTGCTACCGTTGTTTCTCCTACACATTAAATTGCATTAAACTGTTACACATGTTTATCTTTGTGTGGCCCAAGCTTGCCTTCTGCACCATCGATGATCACATAGCAAACACAGAGTAGAGATTAACAGGCTTGGCTGAGGATGCAGCTCAGTGGTACAGCATTTGCCTAACATGCACAAGGCCCTGAGGTCCACCCCAGCACCACACACACACACACACACACACACACACACACACACAAAAGGCTGCTGGCTCCGGGTGGATCCCTGAAAGTTAACCCCTTTGCTCCTCGGTTTCTTCATCTGTAAAATGGGTACAGTCATGCTGATTATCTCCCACGGTGGTTACTGCACAAGTACACAGAGCAGGGCTGGCACAGAGTGGGTGCTCCTCATGCCAGTTATCATCAAAGTGCTTGGCACAGAGGCCATTGATGAGCTGGGTGTGTTAGATGCCTGTTCTCACCCCCTCCTCATTTCAATCCTTTCTGGTAGGTACAGGATTGAACCCAGCCCTAAGACAGGTACAGTTTTAAACTCATTTTCCGGATGAGGAAACAGAGGCTCTGGTGGGCGGAGTCCTGGCCCAAGCTGGCCTAGTTAGGAAGCAGAGAGGAACTCTCGGTGTGACTTGCACAGCCAGGCACCGGGAGGGACCTGAGGCTCCTCCTTGGAGGAGATGACAGTGGGTCACAGGGAGGATACGGGTACTTTCTCTTTCCTGCCGAAGTGCCCCCACTTAGTGCCCAACCCAAAAGGCAGCAGCTTTCTCTTGGGAGGGGGGAGAAGCTGGGCTGGACCTTTCCAGGAGAGCCAGGGGCGAGGACAGGCAGGGCGAGAGTACAGAAGAAGCAGGGAGTGGAGGACAAGCCCCCACCTCCTCCAGCATGGTCACCGGGCAGAGCCAGCCTCGCTACCTGCCCTCCGAAGGGCACAGGGAACTGCTGATCTCAGGCGATTAGCATAACAATCCACGATCCTGCATCCTCGGGGCCCAACACTGGGTCTGCACCGTCCCATTCCAAGCCAGCTCTTTCTTTAGCTGGCTAATTAGGGGGGAGGGGAGGGGGGGGACAACCTTCTTAAAGGGCCCCTGCACCCCGGGCCCAGGCTGCAGCTGAGACCAGGACGGTGCTTGACTGACAATCCCTTAGGCCCTGGCAAAGTGTGGCTGCCACCTCAGGGCCTCACCCAAGCTGGAGCAAAACGTCTGGCCCCTCTGGAGAGTTCACTGGGCTTCCTGTGTCCACTGCCTCAGCCCCTTTAGTCCACAACCATGGACACACATGTTCAGTTCACACTTGTACCCCAGGGTCAGGCACAGGGTAGGTGCTCAAAAAGAACTTCTCTTTTCTTCCTCTTTTTGTTTATTTTTTATTTTTATTATTATTATTATTATTATTATTATTATTATTTGGTACCGGGGTCTTCCTCTTTTTAAAAAAATTTAATTTAATTTAATTTTGGGGTTTTGGTGGGGGTTTTTTTGGTACCAGGGATCAAACTCAGGAGGACCTTGCACTTTCGAGGCAGGCGGCGGCACCACTGAGCTAAATCTCCAGCCCATAAAAAATTTAATTTAATTTAATTTTTGAGATAGAGTCTCACCATATTGTCCAGGTTGGCCTTAAACTCCTGGGCTCAAGCATTCCTCCTGCCTCAGCTTCCCAAGTAGCTGGAACTACAGGCACATGTCAGTGCACCAGGGTCTCAAATACGTATAACTTTTTATCTTTACTAGGCAGGCACTGTGCCGCTGAGCTACATTCCAGGCCCCATTTCTTTTGGTTTTTTGAGACAGGGTTTCACTATATAGTTTACTATGTAGCCCAGGCTGGCCTCAAATTCATGCTGCTCCTCCTGCCTCCGCCTCCTGAGTGCTGGGATTACAGGCGTGTGCCACCATGCCTAATGGTTTCAAGTACATATAACTTTTCTTTCTTTCTTTCTTTCTTTCTTTCTTTCTTTCTTTCTTTCTTTCTTTCTTTCTTTCTTTCTTTCTTTCTTTCTTTCTTTTAGTATATGTGCTGCCAAAGCAAGCACAGATACATATAACTTTTAAAATATGTAACTGGGGCTGGGGATTTAGCTCAGTGGTTCTGCCGCCTGTCTCAAAAGCACAAGGACCCGAGTTTGATCCCCGGTACCAAAAAACAAAACAAAAACCAAATAAAATATATAACTGAAGCCAGCCATGATGACGCATGGGTTGTTTTTAGACAGGGCCCAGGCTGGCCTTGAACTTGAGATCCTCCTGCCTCAGCCTCTTGAGTAGCTGGGATTACAGGTGTGCATTACAGACCCTGGCTTGGTTCTGTATTTTTTTTTTTTAAGACAGAGTCTTGCTATGTAGTTCAGGCTGGCCTCAAACTCACTATGTAGCCAGGGCTGGCCTTGAACTCATGGCAGTCCTCCTGCTTCAGCCTCCTGAGTGCTGAGATCACAGGTGTGTGCCACCACTTCTGGTGTTCTGTATTTTTTTTGAAAAAGGGAAAATGAGATCAAAGGACAAAGTGACTTGCCCAGGACCACACAGCTGGAATGTTTCAAAGGAAGATGAGAGCCCAGCTAATCCTGAAAAATAAGGCCTTGGCTCTGGGACCAAGAAGGGAGCCAATGGGACAAAAGTCAGACAGGACCTGGACACCATCCTGTGCTCCTGAGGTAACTTCAGTAAGTGATAGGTGTCTCAAAGACAACGAAGCTGGATGGCTAAGGTTCAGGCTGAGAAGTCTTCTTCTAAGGGAGTGGTA